TGGAGGTCCAGCGTTCTCCCCTGGATGCTCTGTTCTCCATGCACTTTTCTCCTTTCTGTTTTTGGGTGATACAGCTTTGCGTGCCATGTAGCACCTTGAGTGTGGCTTAAGGGAGGAGGCTCAGAAGCAGAAAAGCAAAGTTTAGATAAAGGCAATAAACAAAAGAAAGCGTGTTCCAAGTTGAAATGATTTTTATTAGAAATAACTTACTGGTTTTTTCTCTTAAAGTGAGAAAAAGGTACTTTGTTTCTTTTGTGTCTTCTACAGTGACTGCTTGTTGCTGGGAACCAGCATGGTCACCTTGGTTCACTCCTGTCAGCCCTAGCACACTTGCCTTCTTGTTTTCCAAGTTCTGTTCTGGCTTCTCATTTAAATTAAATAGAGATTGGCTGTGAAACCCCTAGGACTGCTCCTTCCTTATGTGTTCATTTAGTCATACAGCAAACACATAATGAACATATTGGATTGAATATGTTACTGAAATATTTCTGAGTATGCACCATGTGCAAGGCACTGAGATTGAATGGTATACTCTTTGCATAAAAGTAGCTCACTCAGACATTTCCAGCATACAAGTGATGCATACATGAGCTATGTCCTAGACGGAGCATGTGGCTGTCTCCATGGGAGAGCACATGTTCTGGGGAGCACAGGACTGGGGACAAGATTTCCTCTTCGCTAGCAGTGTTCTTAAAGGAGGTGTGGTTGAACTTATACCTAATAGAAAAATAAGATCTCATTAAAGAGGAGATGGACTGACGTGCCCGCGGGTTGCCAGTGATGGTGCAGGATGCTTCGGGCTGAAGGCACACTTCTCCATCTGTGCCATGTGGGCGATGAGGAAGGACATGAGTGTGCTGCTTGGCATCAGCTTTGTTGAGTAGTCACAGGCCTGTGTCTAGCAGGTGACAGAGGCTCTCCAAGGTGGGTGCATGTGGAGGAGGAATGTCCTGGAAGGCACGTCACATTCTGTGCAGGGTTTTGTTCCATACTTATCAGGAGTTTGCACTTTTTTGGGTAAAGGAGTGGTTATTGTATTAATTTTTTTGCTGTTTAACAAATTACCAGAAATGTAATGGCTTAAAACAACCCTGATTTACTGTCATGCAGTTCCTGTAGGTCAGGAGCTGGGACGTGGTCAGCTGTTTCCTGCTCTAGGTGTTACTGGGCCCAGGTTTGAGTTGGTTAGGACTGAGTTTCGTTTGAAGCTCAGGGTCTTCTAGGCACACAATGGGTGTTAGAAGTCACTTGTTGTGGCATGTGACCAAGGGCCTGGTTGTCTCATGTCAGATGGGCACACACTTAGTTCCCAGGGGCACCCTTGGGCCCTTGCTGATGGCCTTGTCCTGTCACAGCTCAGCAGCTGCATTTTTGAGACCACAGGGGGAATGGTGCTTTTTCGGGTACTCTTCATCCTTTCTGTCACTAAGGGCCGCGTGACGAGGCCAGGCCCACTCAGGATAGTCTCTCAGAGAGTGGTTCATCGTCAGCTGATTTGGACTCTTAGTGACCTGGTACAGTTCACTTTCTTTGCTTTTGTGTGTCCCAGCCCTGTCCACCATCAAGAGAGGATGTTGGACAGATGTGTATGCCAGGTAGGCGTTTTAGCGACCATTCGAGTTCTGCCTGCCACAGCTATGGCATGGGTCTTTCCTCCATGCTCCCCCTTCATTCAGTGAGTGACGGGGGACTTGAGACACTCTGCTGTCATCTGTGCATCTGCACCCCCAACCCATGGTGTGTCACGGTGGGAAGCAGTTGTTGGTGCAGTGATTCCCCAGGAAGTTGGCAGGTCAGCAGTTCCTCATGAGGAGACTAGATGCACGTTCGTGCCCTTCTCCTGTCCTCCCCACCCCACTGCTTTTTTTGTTGTTGTTACTTCTTTACATTGCAGTTTCCATTTCCTCTTCTGCAGAACAGGCAAGATTCTGGTGTCTCTGCCTCATGGTATTGCACAGGGATTGAGATGAAGCTGTTGCACTCTCACTGGGAGCCCAGCATGTAGCTGCTCAGAGCCTGAGCTATGGTGGAAGTGATTCTGGGGAGGAGGGAGAGGGGAGGTAAGAGGAGAGAGGTGGGAGGTGGAACAGGTGGCTGTGAGCAGGTAGGTCATGAAGAAAAGTGAACACCTTAGGAAAAGTGAAACCATAAGACTTGTCAGTGAAACATTTGGGCTGGAGTTGTGTTTCGTTAATTTCTCTACATTTTAGCCAGTCCTTTAATTATGGGCTGCAAGTGACTTGATGTAGCAATTAAAGGACTTCACATTTTAAAAGTTTTCCAGAATTCTATACATTTCTTACTGACTTAGCCAAAGATTTAAAGTTAATATATTAAGATTTAGGCTTCTTCTATACATTGGGTCATTATTGTTGCTTGGTTATGTTTATCAAAGTCTTTTAACCCTCCTGATGATGAAGATTAATTGATGGTGTGTTTTGTGTGACTTATTCATTAGACCAGTAAATGTATACCTTTTCAGCTTTTATATCTAAGACTTGCCTTGGAATGCAAAAGACATTGGAAGTCATATATTTAAAACGATTTCTAGACTTCTGAGCTTCATAAAAGCCCATAGGCAGTCATTTGAGAACTGTGATTAAAATCTCCACTTGGAAAAAAAGGCCGAAGAATTTCCAAAATAAGACTGAAGCAGTCCATTGCTAACAGTTAATCCAGAAGCTATTTTTCAGTGATCAGATCTTTTCAGTGTTTTGGGCCACTAGATTTTATTTCCGTAGCATTATTCTGTTTAAGCAGGTGGTAGTAGCAAAGATTTCAAAAAATAATCAAGAAAATAAGGTAACCTCTGAAAAGATAGTTCTGGCCTTCTATTAGTCATATCTGGTATTTTTGTAAGACTTATACCATTTCAAAGATTATCTGCTCACTTCATCCATGTAGGTGGAAGCTGGGAACTTGTTCTGCCTGGTCAGGAGGTGGGTTCATACAGTTCCCTTGTTTTGGGCATTTCTTCACAGTGCTTACTTTGATGGGCTCTAGAGGAGAACCTTGGAGCTTAGGGCTGTTGGAGGCAGGCTTGGGAGCTCCTTGATCCCTGAGGAATGTCTTCTCTGGATGCTTTCATGGATGGATGGGGTGGGGAGACAAGGACAGGGATGGAGGACATTTAACTTGACTGCTGAAATGACTTGAGTTTCCCAAGGTCAAAATCTTCTGCTCTATATGCACGAAAGTACTAGTATCCAGTGGTATGGCATGGGCATCTAGTTACAGAATGAATTTTACATTTGAAAATAAATGCCGATGTCTTAGGGGATTCCAGAAAAGTATACTAGCTAGCCAGTGAAATTTCAGAGACCAGTGGCATCTGCTGAGGTTGAGCCCTCTTGTGATCCCCCTGTCCCCCACACCCAAGGTGCTTTCTTCCTCCTCTTTTCCTGTGACATTCAAAAGTATTTGTGGAGATGTGTTGCATGTCAGAAATTAACAAAGGTGGGTAAAACAGAAACAGTGTCTGCCTCAGAGAAGTCCAGGGGACAAAGCACGCTAGGAGGCAGCAGGTCTTTATAGGACAGCATGTGATGGCTTGCATCACAGGGAAGTGTCACAGAGAGCTTTGGGAACACTGAAGGAGCTACTTTACCCCAGTCTGGAGGGATAAAGGAGTACTTTGGATGCTTCCTGGAGGAGGCATTGTTGGCTTGGAATCAAAGGATGGGTAGGAACTCACAGGAGTATGGGGAGCATAAGAGCTAAGGCCCTGGAGTCAGGGGAAGTGGATGGAGAACTGAGAGCAGGTAGAGCTGCATGGCTAGACAGCGCATGTTGCCAGCAGGGAGGACAGAAGATGAGGTGGCTCTTCTTAAGTGATTTTATGACTTTTTATTTTCTTGTCTTCTATGTAAAGTGAGTCAAAGGTCTCTTGCATCACTAAATATCACTGGGACAAATCAGCTTTAAGCTTGGCTTTAGGGCACAGTTTTGATGCTTTTAGATGGAAGATCTACCTTTCGTGTATTGTTTAGTTTCTGTTGGGTGTGATTTGCATTCTCTGCAAGTGACTGTTTTCTAGTCTTGGGTTGTGATATTACCACCATACCTAACTGAATTTAACAAGCAGGTTGGAGGAGGACTTGTCATTGTGTGTGGTATTTTGATATTACATACTGACCCATCTGTAATAGCATCTTGTAGTTGCAGACTTCTCATAGGCACTGTTGATATGATGGACAATGGAGAGGTGTAAGAGATCTGCTGTGTATTTTGGATATGTGTTTCAGTTATGTTTTGGCAGCAGAGCGAGCAGGAAGATTATGCCTCCGTTAAAGTAGTCAACCACTCATGTAAAAATGACTGTGAAGGTGTGTAGAGAACTTTTAGATGAAAGCCATGTTTGTGTGTGAATTGCCTGTGCTGCATCTCTAACACTTTGGGTAGCTCAGTGCATGTAGTGCTGGTAGCAGTGCTGCTGCCGCGCTTAAGGATGTGTGGGAATTGCTTTTTAATCAGTCTGATGCTCAGCTGTTGTATGACATTAACCCACCTTTTTTTCTGTTTTCTTAAACTGTCGATTAAAATTTTAATTAACTTTTCGTATTGCAGCTCTGTTTTATTTTCATTCTTAAGAAGGTATTATAAGTAAAAACAAAAACTTACTTTTACTGTCCTGCTACTTGGGACGATGTGTCTTCATGCTTCAGAGCATTAGTATTGTAGTGGAAATATTGACTAGAGGTGAACTCTGAGAGAAGCTTAATCATTTTTGCAGTATTTTAGGTATGATCTTATCTGAGCACATTTAAATGTTATATCCTAGTAAAACCCATTTTAAACCATATGTTATTTAGTACTAAATCCATGTAGAAATTTCAAATGGAAATTTTAAAAAAGCAGTGCTTTTTTCTTGATGTATTACTTTCCTTTGTTAGCATGCTTCTGGGTGTTTCTGTAGCTTAGAATTATGCAAACTTTCCTCTCCTATGCCTGTCAGCTCTGACCTTTGTTTTTCCCCCTGCCCTCTCATCTGCATCCCACAGATCTCCTCTGATGCACCCCTCCCGCCTGTGGTGTCCTCTCCCTCTCTGCAGGCTGCAGCTGAGAAGAGCAAGCTGGAGGTAGGAGTGACAGTGCGCCGGGATCCCCAGTACCAAGCCCCCTTTGGCAGTGCCTGGGCTTGGGGGCGCCATATGTTGATATTTTGAATGAGTCCCGGTATTGCATGTGTTCAATACAGTGATTTCTGGAGCATTTTCTTATACTATAGGTTGGTTAAAGGGCTTTAATCTATAATTAATTTCAGAATGACTGATTTATTGGTGCCAGATAAGCTTAATGGCCAGGAATCTGTGAGTTTGCTGTTGTTGTGTCTCTCACTGTCATAGAGAACTCTTCTATGGTTTGCTGTTGAGTTCTTTGATCTACAAGGAAAGCCTGATTAAAAATATTTTCCTTCTGTGATTCTGTTGTTAAGAGCATGTAAAGGAAGTTCACGTCAAGTTTCTTTTTAAGCTGTCGTACAGGTGACGAGAGCGTGTTGTGGGACTGTGTGCTCCAAGTGGTCAGTGACAGCTGGTGGGACATTTTGGGTGGGGTTTAGAGTGTGGGTCTTACGGTGAGTCTTTCTGTGGTCAGCCTTACGAGCATTTGAGTCTCCATTTCCTTGAACTCTTTACCTGTTTTCTTTTGTTACTTTGGCCTCGATGAACCAGTCTGAGATTCCTTCCAGCTCTTGCCTTCCCCACCTCTTCCTTGTCACATGGGGCACTAGACATGTGGGATCCAAACAGGATCCAGGCCCTGTCCTTGGGAACACGTCGAGTGGAGGCGACAGGGGTGGTAGCCACTGCTGTCCGTGTGGAAGCACACTTGCAACACCTTGTGCTCTGACAAGTGGTGTGCACAGGATGAGGAGGCACCCAGCAGAGAGCACAGCTTGTGCACAACACACGGGCCCAGTGTGGCATCCAGGGAGCAGCAGGCAGGGCTAACTGGTCTGTGAGCAGGACGGGGTGAAATGCGCCTGAAGACCCCAGAGGGGCCGGGTCTGCACCCTGAAGGCCCAGGCCTTTCATGAGGAGTGTCAAGAGGAAGAGTGACAGGATCTAATTCACACTGTAGCTTGTTCTTTTTGGTGACACGGGGCAGGCACTTTATGATGACTGTGAGGAGGTGGCTCAGGACCCCGATTCCCCATCCAAGAGTAAAACAATTGGCTTACGTCAGAAGGGAAACAGAGGGAGTAATTAGGAGAGTCATTTGGAAAGACCTAAGAGGGAAGAGTATATGGGGCTTGGTAGCTGGTGAATGGTGACTTTCGGTTTTTAGCTCTAGTGTCTCAGGTAATGATGGCACCATTTAGTGAGAGAAGGGTACACGCTGAAGAGAAGGAACAGGTTGAAGGAGCGACAGGAAGGGAGAGGATCAAGGAGCTGGGCAGTTGAGTGTGGTGACTGGGGGACATTCATGTATCAAATATGTGTTGAATGTACAGGTCTACACCCAATGAGAGAAATGGTGGGGCAGGGGAAGAGAATAGAAAGGTGAAAGATGGGAACCCTGTGAGTTATCAGCAGGACTGGGGAGTTCCTGAGAGCTGTGGGGACCATATGGGGTATGATGTGTAATTGGAGTGGACAGGCCTGGGTACCTTTGCTGACAGCAGGTCCAGGATGGAGCCAGGAGTGCAGGGTTGTCAGGGGAAGTAGAAGGATACCGGCGCAAGCCTGACCTTCTCCACACTTGCCATGAAGGTATTTCTTAGTGGGGAAAGAGCTTGGAAACCCTGGGACCGGGCTTCTGTGCATTTGGAGTCCTACCTCTATGTCTCAGTAGGGGTGGTCCCATTCACTAGTCTCACAGTCTCATGTCTATCCCAGGCATTCCATTTGAATGTCAATTTATGCCTTTTTTCTTATCTTTTAAGGAAAGCTTTTGTATATGTTTTATCATGAACATATTATAGTGTTATATATGCTTTATAAGTAAATGTATACATTTGGTGGAATGTACATGCTTACAAGTTCTTAAGATAGGAATGCATGATCAAGAATTTTGGAGACCATGCCTTTAATTGAATCGTTCAAGTATAGTGTGTCCAGAGTGTACTTGTCTCTATCTTACGGACTTGGATGTTTACAGTAGTCTCTTGCAGGGGGTCTGCCTGCTGGTTTACTGTGTCACTTGTGTGTGCAGCCAAGTTTCAGGAATGACTTACAGTTTCACACACTGCTACATGTTGTTCCTGGTGAGAAAATAGTTTAAAGAAAGTCAGGTTCTTGCAGTGCTCTGTTCTTTTAGCAGCTTTTGGTTCCAGGTGGAAACACGTGTGGCCACTGTGCACTGAGCTGAGCCCATACTGTTCACGCTACTGCAGAGCTTGTCGCAGCTCCCCCGCTGGCCAGAGCCACAACAGTTGCTGGCAGCTGACTCCAGTGCTGGCGAGTTCAGACTGCTCCCCTCTCCCAAGGGCAGCTCACTCAGTAGACTGACTCCTAGTGACTTCATGTATGTCTACCGGTCCTTGTGAGTAAGAGGCCAGATTCCTTTCCACTCAAGACAGTGGCCCCTTGAAAAATAGCTGTCTGCCTGTGCTGACTGCTCCAAGAAAATACCATAGGCTGAATTGCTTGCAAATAACAAAAATTTACTTTTCTTAGTTCAGTGGCTGGAAGGGTCAAGATGGGGCTATGGCAGGTTCTGTGTCTTGGGAGGACCCACCTTCTGGTTCAGAAAGTGGCTTGTCCTACTGTGTCCGCCCATGGTGGAAAGGCCTCTTCTCAGGGTGCTGATCCCCCTCATGAGACACCACCCTCATGGCCTCATCACCTCCCAAAGACCCGGCCTTCTAACACTGTCACATCAGGGATTTGGTTTCACGATGAACTTTGGGGGTACAGCTCAGAGTGGCTGTAGGCACCTCACCCACGTGTTAGCAAGCACAACTGTCACACGGCTTTCCTTGTCAGACTTCGCTAGGAGTGCTCTAGTGAGACACTTGACAGTATGAAGGGTTTTGCACATCTCATTCTTTACTTACAAAGTGGGGTTCCTGTGGCTCACTTCATCAGGTTGTGAGGAGTAAGAGCAGACATGTCAGAAGGGTCTGGGAGTGCTGGCAGAGTTGTGGGGAGTGGCCACTGTAGGACATGTCTCAGCCCCACTGGGACAGCACACAGAGACTGACAGGCTGGGCCCTAGGCCCTCTACCCCCTCTTCTGACTGACTGTGTGGCTCTGGGCATTACTTTTCTCAGATTTTGTTTTTGCGTTTGTCTTGTTTCATCGACAACAATGACAGTGTGTATTTCAGACCATTAGATAGTAAGATACTTAGCTCCTGGCCCTCAGGGAGCACTTATTAAGTGGTGGTTGTGTTTTGTAATCGAAGATTTTGATTTGGGAAATGGTTAATCACCAATAGGCGATGTTTATAGTTATCCTTAAAGGGTTGCATCTCCTTATTTCAGGGTGGAGTCCAGGCACTTGAGCAGATATACAGATCTTTTTGAGAAATACACCCAACATTCTAGCTGGTCTTCTGTCTTATTAGATCCTTCGTGCTCTTAGCAACATGTCATTTTGATATATGCTAATCTGGTAGCTAGAGCATATAGATTGCTTATCTTCTTCCTCAAGAGCATTCTTGAAATGTGACTTGAGAACATCTTAAAGGAGATTTAGATGTAACTGCAGGCTCCAGATGTCCTACCATGTGTCCTCTTGCTGCAGAGCAGTTACCCCCGCTGCGGCAGCTTGGCCCTCCACTCACCCTAACTGGTGAATTGCTAGTGGTCTCATTGCTTTTACTAATGGCTAACAGAAGAAAAAGTTAATAAGTGAAATGCTTTAGCATTTTTCTGCTGTTCTTAAGGTTGCAGTTAGAGATATTTCTTACTCCTTCCCTAATCTAGAGATCTTTGCTATAAATTTCTTTTAAAATTTGGAACTAAGACCAAAGTATTTTCCTTCTTCCTTTCTAAAATCATACAGCAAATACTAAAATTACAGTGTCTTATATGTATGTGTTGCTCTACAGTTTGTAAAGTTGTTTTTGGGCTGTTTAGTGCCTTTTATTTTTACTTTTTCATACTGAATTGCATGTTAAGTATGTCTAGTTTAATTAATACTTATGAAACTATCACTGTATAACAAACATTGAAGCTGAATTGCTAGCACTTCAAAAAGCTCCCATGTGATGCTCCCTGTTGAGAAATAACTTCACCCGTTTTCCTCAGAGGTAATCAGCATTCTGACTTCCACCATCACTCTCCTCCTCCTCCTCCTCATCATCACTTTTTTGTTTTTCTTCATGGCTCTCTGCTAATGTGTGCACCCCAGCAATATTCTTAGCCTGTTTTAAACTTTGTATGAAAGTAGCACAGCCTTTTGAATTTCCGTCATTTCTCTCACATTTGGCCTGAAATGGCCAGTATTAACTTTTCTGACTTGTAGATGGAAATTGACTGTGAACGAGGTTGCATCTAACACCACTTCAAGACCCAGGTGCAAATGCAGCCTTAGGCTGTGACTAAGTTCCATGCGTTTGTCTACCTTTCCCGGCTCGTTGGCTCCTCTTCCCTGTTTCTGCTGGCACACGGGGCGAGGCTGTGCCCAGGTGCAGTGTCTTGCCAGTCTTGGTTTCTGGCCATTCTTTCCTCCTGAGGCTTCAGAGGTGCTCTTAGTATTATCATCTTCATCCCTTTTTGGCATTTGGTGGCCTGCAGGGTTTATTATCCTTAATCATAAGTTTTTAGTGTTATGTCTTGTCTCATCCTTTGTGGAAGTGTAGACTGTGATATACCTTGTGGTTTACCTCACCTGCCTTACATTGGTCAGTCGGCTCTGGTCCTAAGTCCTATCTTCAACATTCTTTGCATGAGAAAATTATTGTATTGGCCTTTTTATTGTATTTTTTTGAGTTGGAGTCTCACTCTGTCACCCAGGCTTGAATATAGTGGCATGCTCATGGCCATCGCTGCCTCAACCTGCTGGGCTCAGGGGATCCTCCCACCTCAGCCTTCCAAATAGCTGGAACCACAGGTACACACCCCCATGCCTGGCTAATTTTTGATTTATTGTAGAGACAAGTTCGTGACAAGTTGCCCAGGCTGGTCTTGAGTCCCTGGGCTCAGGTAATCCTCTCACCTCTGCCTCCCAGAGTACTGAGATTACAGGTGTGAGCCACTGTGCCCGGCTTTGCATTGACCTTTTTAAAAAACCAAAATTCTTTGATGATGAACTAAAGATTTTTTTATTTAAAAGAAAATGGATTTTATGCTTGTCCTCTTTCATTTACATGCTGTGATTTGTCTTCCTCTGTGGTAAAAATGTTCCTTCAGCTAGTTTACTTTTCTTTTTATTCAAACTTTAGCTTTCTGGGTACTTTTGGGAAGCCTGGCCTTTTGTACAGGTATTGTGAGAATTCATGGAATGAGAGTCTTATGTATTTAAAACAGACACGAAACAAACCCTAAGATATCAAAGAGCTTCTAAATTGTCTCACCTCTATCTTATTTTTAAGAGATGTTCTTTATTGTGTCATCAAGATGTAACCTCAATGAGGATGTGAATTTGCTGTTACCTTCATATTTCAGTATCACCTGGGTAGTGTAATAATTGAATATTTCTGCCTTTCTAATAAAAGGATCCAAAAAAGTGGTAACTTGCATAAAAGTAAACTTATCAAAACTTTGGGCTGTGTTTTAGAAAGAAAAGGAAAAAAAAAAGGAAGAGAAAAAGAGAGAAAAGGAGCCAGAAAAGCCTGCAAAACCACTTACAACTGAAAAGGTAAAATTATTTTTTTTACAAGATCCATTAAGATGACCATCTTACATGTATACTTATGTGTGAATGAATTTCTGAATGTTTACGATGTGCAAATACCAATTCTTTCAACAAGCAGTTGTGAGATGACGATGTGCTGAGTGTGCCCTCCAGTGTGCCTGAGAGGTTTGTAACCAGGTAGAGGCATGTGAGGGTGGGTCAGCCAAGCCCCTTTGGGGCAGTGTTCTCTTAGGAATGTCACAGGGAACAGTGTTTGAAGCTTTCGTGCACAGTGAGAGCTCAGTGTAAGTCTAGGGAATGGAGCGAATATACCAGAAGGACTTTCAGCAGAGACTCCTAGCCACAGTGAACATTTGGGCTGGGCTTGAGACAGAGGTTGGATTCAGGGGGCAGGAGTGCATGCTTGAGGGAACAGCCTGAAGATGGTGTGCAGACTGGAAGTAAAGTGTGGTCAGAGGAACAGTGAACTTGAAGAAGGTGTGTGTCTGTGTACAGAGAGCAGTGAAAATCAGACCAGAAAGGGAAACTGAACTCAAATTGTAGATGTGTATTCTTTTTTGGGAGGGAAGGCTAGGCAGCACTTCACATTTCTAAAGCAGGTGGTGCACCTCATTCAGAAGTTTCTTTTGGAAGATTACTTTGGCTGTAATATGCGGGATAGATATGGTTAGGTGAGCTGGAAGCAGTGACGGCATTGTACTCAATGAAGGGATTGGAGAAGTGATCTTTTTTTTTTTTTGATTTGGAGTGTCACTCTGTCGCCCAGACTGGAGTGCAGTGGCCACTCCCAGCCACCGCATTCTTGACCTGCTGGGCTCCAGCGATCCTTCCGCCTCAGCCTTCCAAGTAGCTGGAACTACAGGTGCGCGCTACCATGCCTGGCTAATTTTTTGATTTATTGTAGAGATGAGGTCTCGCCAAGTTGCCCAGGCGTGCCTCGAACCCACGGGCTCAGGCAATCCACTCACCTCAGCCTCCCAATGGCGCGGGATTACAGGCTGAGCCACCAAGCCCGGCTAGAGAAGTGATCTTGATGGCTTAGTTCTAAATGAATGCATATCATCATACAAGCATGGACATGTTAAGAGAATCATCAGTAAAGGGAGCATCCTTGATTTTAGTGGTTGAAATTTTTAAAATCAGCTTTTTTGGTATCAATCATATACTACCAAGTACATCCATTTAAAGTATGTAATAGAAATGTTACATGTAACAAGGAAGATCCATGCTGCTGTTGGACATGTGGATTACATATGTTTTAATACTATAAGTAATGCTGCTGTGAACACTTGCACATGCATCTAAGCATGTATTTCTTTAGGGCGTGCTTAGGAGTGGAATTGCTGGGACATATAGTGTGTGCGAATTGAACTTGACTAGATCATATCAAATTGCTTTTCAAGTGTGAACCAAGGTACTCTCACCATCTAAGTAACCACATTCTCTTCAGGACATACTGTTGTCAGGGTTTTCAGTGTCTACAGTTTAATGAGCATGTCATCGTATCTCATTATGTTTTTTAATGTTTATTTCCTTGATTACAAAATGCGACTCAGGGCCTTTTCATGTCTTTTTTTCCCCTTCTTTTGTTATTGTTTTTACCTATAGCTTCATTTATTGTATATTAAAAAATAAAAATAATACATGTGAAAATAACACAGGCGCATGTTTTTTTTTGAGTTGGAGTCTCACTCTGTCGCCCAAACTGTAGTGCAGTGGCCGCTCCGGGCCACTGCGGCCTCGACCTGCTGGGCTCTGGCGATCCTTCCGCCTCAGCCTTCCGAGTAGCTGGAATTACAGGTGCGTGCTACAATGCCCGGCTAAATTTTTTGATTTATTGTAGAGATGAGGTCTCGCCAAGTTGCCCAGTCGTGTCTCGAACCCGCAGCCTCAGGCAATCCACTCACCTCAGCCTCCCAAAGGCGCGGGATTACAGGCTGAGCCACTGAGCCTGGCTGGTCTTTAAAAAATGAAACACAAGCCAGTGTGTTGGTACACACCTGTGGTCCCAGCTACTCAAGAAGCTGTGGCAGGAGGATCTCCTGAGCCCAGGAGACTGAGGCTGCATTGAGCCATGATCACACCACTGCACTCCAGCAACAGAGTAAGAACCCATCTCTTAAGAAAGAGAGAGAGAAAAGAATGAAAAGGAAAAAGGAAAAAAAATTCCTTTTCATAGGCCTGGTTCAGGTCTTTTGCTTATTTTTGCAGCTATTACACATATATTCACACGTAGAAGATGCTAGTTCTTCAGTTGAGTGTCTGCAGATATCTCTGCAACTTGATCGCACTGACTTTGCTGCTCCCTCTCCTTCTGGTTGGGAATCCACAGCAAGGCCTTCCTGTTAATCCTGACATCAAAGGGAAACGCGTTTGACCTTTCACCTGTGTGTATTATCTTCATTCCTCACAGAAACTGCAAGCTGGTGGTTGCTGGCCCCATGTTATAGGTGAAAGAACTGAGATTCAGAGTAAATATGCATTTTGCCTAGTGTCCTCTAGTTTAGGAGAAAATTTATGGAGTCTGGGTTGGAAAAATAAGGGTTTTAATTTGTATTTCCTTAAAGATGGCTTTCAGGACACTCTTCAGTGACTCCTTCCAGTTAGTTCAAATTTGTTTCTCAGACACTTTAGTCACTACTCTCTTTAGTCAGTTTTTCTCTGTTAAAACACTAGGTCTAATTTGAGAGCAAAGATACTCCATTATTCCTAACATAGGCGTGTGCGTATGTGTACTTCCACTGGTTTCTTGTGGCTGCCTTGGTGTGGAGTGTTCTTAGATTGCTTTCCACGGCATGTAGTTCCCAAAGTGTGTATTGTGATTTTTTTAATGTAAGAATGTGTCTCTTGTGCAGATATTTGCCCATAGTGTCTTGAATTTTATGAGACCAAATCAGTTCACAGAGGATATCCAAGTCAAATAAAAAGCTCCAGGAAATTTTTTTCTTACATCTGGAATTAGTGTTGTAATTAGAAAAATATTTTGTACACTGAGGTTAAAATAAATTCACTGTTGTTTTCTTTTAATATTTACATATTATGTACTTTTTACATTTAGACTTCTGATCCAAATGGTTGCTGAAAAGCAGTAATTTTAGTTTTTTTCTCAACATTGTTATCATCTATTTAATTTTATCTTTTAATTAATTGTCTTAGAATAATGTTCCAAAATGTCACCTTTCTGTCAATGATTTAAAATGTCACATTTAGCATAATAAAGCTACGTAGGTACTTGTATCTATTTCTGGGCTTTGTATTTACTTCCATTTGTTTGTCTTTTCACAAGCTGGTACCACATAGTTTTTAATAATAGAGGCTTTATAGTGTTTTAATGTGTGATAAAGTTAATTCTCACTCATGACTGTATAGACAATTTTTATATGTAAAAATATTTTTATATTACAAGTTGTAATCAACTAAGAAAATACGTGAATGTGTAAGACAGTGGGTAAAAGCAATTAAGTAATAAAAAAAATCAAATGTCATAAACAAGCAAACAACCCAAAACTCCAGGAAAGCAAGTGGAGAGATGGCGATGCAGCAGGAGGAGGCCCTGCTTGTGAAGACACCTACTGGTGCCACCTGGAGTTCGTCCCCAGGGGTGATGTGTGTTCCAGTCTTAAAGGAGTTGACATAAATCAGTAGTGATGATGTTTTAACTAGTTGGAAAATAAACAAAAGCAACTGTCAGACTTCCTCTTTTGAACAAACATTTTATGCTAATAAAATTTTCAGAAGTACCTTTGCACTTGATAAATACAGCTGAGCTAACCTATTAATATGAGTACAAGGTACAATTGCAAGTCTGTTGAACTTGAAATTTCCGTATAACCATGTAAAAGTAAGCAGCCAGTTGTAAATCAAGTAAATTGTTTGTAGTAAACCATTAGAGTTTAATTAAGGGCTCATTGCCAGATGCTAGGTCATGTTTTTGAGCAGTGTGACACAGCCACCAATCTCTGTAGTGTAGGCTAAATAAATCTTTCAAGTGATGCGTGAATTCATCTGAGAATACGATGTTGCCAATAATTAGTGCTTATGTAGAAATCATGGAAACATATAGTCTAGGTGAGCAGGTGCAGCAGATGTCTCAGGGCATTTTTATATGTGAGTTTGAAAGATTCTTTATATTTTCATCAAATTGTTTAATTTCCAGCTTAGAGCAGAACATAGAGACTAGTTTAATAATGATCTTTTGTTTATGGATTTAAAGTAATACTGCACTATCACTATATGTTGGGCGTGGGAAGCATTTTAGATCTGCTTCCTTGTTGCCCACGTTTTATTGTGGGTATAGATTGTTAGTTGCTGCTGTTGACAACTTGCTGTGTTTCCTTAGCTATTAAGCATTAAAAAAATATATTCTCTACGAAACAGAAAAGATCATAGCAGTACCCTAAGTAAAAAAGAAGTCCTCTGTCCTGTTCAGTACATTTATAGGGTTTCTTCTTTTTTTTTTGAGTTGGAGTTTCACTCTGTCACCCAGGCTGGAGTGCAGTGGCATGATGACAGCTACCACAGCTTCAACCTGCTGGGCTCAGGCTGTCTTTCCGCCTCAGCCTCCTGAGTAGCTGGGAGTACAGGCATGGACCACCGTACCTGGCTAAATTTTTTCTTTCTTTTTTTTTTTTTGAGTTGGAGTCTCACTCCGTCGCCCATACTGGAGTGCAGTGGCCGCTCCCGGCCACCGCAGCCTCGACCTGCTGGGCTCCGGCGAACCTTCCGCCTCAGCCTTCCAAGTAACTGGAACTACAGGCGCACGCTACCATGTCCGACTGATTTTTGATTTATTGTAGAGATGAGGTCTCGCTGCCCAGGCGGGTCTCGAACCCGCAGGCTCAGGCAATCCACCCACTTCAGCCTCCCAAAGGTGTGGGATTACAGGCTGAGCCACCGAGCCCGGCTAATTTTTTTATTTCTTGTAGAGACAAGGTCTTGCCAAGTTACCCAGACAATCTCTTGCTTCCGCCTCCCAAAGTACTGGGCGTCCAGGCATGAGCCGC